ACAAAACTGAGGATTCAGAAGCGTCTTCTAACTCACTGAATGGTATGTTGGAAGAACCACGTTCACCTAATGAAAAAAAAAATTCAGCATCTCTCACTCCTTAGTTTCTGAGCAGGCAAGGATATTAGACTTAAGGTACTGTGGTCCTGATGACGCTTAATTAGGGTGTCTCTCTTGGTGTTAGGGTTAGGGTTGGCTGTTAGGGTGTCTCTGTTGGTAACTACACATAATATAGTTGCAGTGCCTTCCTTCTGTATATTGCTAATACAAATTGCAAGAGCATGTTTGTCTGTTTCTCATATATATCTTACTTGCATGTTTTTATAGTTAAGCTACACACCTTGGCATGGATATCACTGCCATTCTGACAGTTATCTTAGCAGTTACTGACCTTACACTTTACATTATGCATTAAATTGTGCATATGGCAGTTTGCCTTGCTCTGAATCTTGAACTGCTACAACATAATCAGATTATTGAAAAAAGAGAAAATTATGAATGTTGACTCTTCAAACTGATCCTATAGAATACATTTAAATTATGAAGGTTTGTAAGTCGCTAATAAACCATGGCCATAAACCATTTTTATTATATTAGTCATTTTGAGTTATTAATTATCCATTATGTACTACCTGCTACATTCTCCTGTATTATTTTCTTACTCTCTATATACCTATGTATGCATTATTTTAGTGAAAGCATTTGTTACCTGATTGTTTTTCACAGCTTCCTGTAAAAGTGGAAAAAACATAATTCTGCAGTCGCGTGAGATAAAATTGGAGGGGCTACGTGGCACATCAGTAAATCTTTTATAAGAGAGAAGTTTTCACATATATCTAAGGGAGAGAATATATTTCTTGAAGACGTGTTTTATGAATAAATTTGGAACACAACAGTAGACAATATAGTTAAATAAAATTTGTAAAAGTGTAGGTAATTTATGCATTCGGGTTTTGTTATTTTGCATGCATTTTCACTTTAATTACGTAAGAATTAATTACGCATTTTTCTAGCCACTAAGTTATTCCAACAAATGGTTGTGCGTTAGGGACACCATGTTAGCAGCAAGGATGAATATATTCGTATCCTTCTTACCCAGGGTATCCTCAAGAAAACAAAAGCAGAGGTAACATAAATGTTGAAAGTAATAAGCATTCTTCAGCCTTACAATGCTATATCTATTTAACATCTCATTTATTCCTATGCCATCAAGTGGTTTTGGTCTGCTGTCCATGGAATTGCTATTTCCACTGTTTATAAATATGCAGTATGTTCATCAATTATCTTGCCTTATTTCATGAGTAATTAAATGTTCCTAGTTTGGCCAAAAAATAACAATACAATAAAAATCTTAATTGGCTTCCTCTCAGCTATTCATGGCATGAGCAGATAGCCCTGTCTCCAGCTGTTAATTGCACTAAACATTGATTGATAGGCTCAGCCAACACAATTATGGAAAATTGTGCATATTTTTTGAAAAATACTGATGGAATCAGAGGCTGTAGGGTGGTTTTTTTCTAGATATATATTAACATATTAGCATATTAAAGCAGAATTGAGGTGTGAGTGTGATTTAGGAATTGTGTTGGGGTTTTTATGTGCAGAAGAATTGTCCACTAAATATTTAAGAAAGGCACCACTCCCTCCAGTGCAGAGCATATTATACTTATTCTTTCCTTCCTGGAAGGTGCACTATGGTACATTCTTGGGTTTTTTCTAATTCATTGCACTTTCAATACTGTAGCAGCAGTAATATAGTTAGGGTAAAATAAAGCTGTATTCTAGTTAATACTCATGGTTTTTTATCACAATTGACACATGATAAAATAAATGTTTTCAATGCTGTTGCAGCAGAAAAAAACTCTCATAATGCATACACCAGTCTAAGACTTGGGAATAAACAGTTTTTACTCTGAATTTCAATTTCTCCCAGGTTTTGGAGCCTTTACCATCACTCCTTTTTGTTATACAGGTTTTGGTTTTGGTTTGGTTTTCCTGTCACTCTCCAGTCTTTGCTACTTCTTTTTTTCCTCCTCTTTTAAATCTGCTGCTCCTGCAAAGCTTTATCCTCCTTTTTTTGTAATGCTATGATCTTTTGCTTTCACAAGCATATTTTCTCTGTTATTGTCTGTATCTGTTCATCTGATTCCTCTTGGCCAGATCATCCTATCTGTTTTCTGCTTTTTTCTCCAGTACTTCCTCATGGAAGATTCATTGACAGCTCAGACTCAAAATGGGTGTAGAACTAAATGTTATCTTTTCTCCTAAACACTTCCACCGTCCTACTTGTCATCCAAGCTCATATAGCAGTGCTTAGCCAATCTTCCTCCACAATTTATGGAAAGCCTGTCCCTTTCCCTCTATACAGACAAATGTCACTTTTCATAAGCTTTTTCACTTTTTAAGACTTCTTGCACATCTTCCTTAGCATCCATATTGCCAGTCCGTCCAAAACACAGTTGGTAACACTGCTGCTCTCATCGGTCAAACCATACTTGTATCTTTTAAGCTCATCTTTATTTTCAAGATATTCCACACTATTCTGTCCCAGCCTATAAATCAGATCATCCCAGCCATTCTGCTCTATCAATATATTAAGACTACACATTCTTAATAATTCCATGATATCCCCTATCCCTGTCATGACTTCACTATTCTGTAAATTATCGATCCTTTCGGTTCTTTGTCTGCATATACTCTTTTTCGACAGTACACAAAAATGAAAAATGCATACCCATTCAGATAATGAAAAAAGGAAAATAAGTCACTGGTTCTGGGCATGTCCCACTTTACTGTACTTCTCCGTGTCTTTCTTATATCTTTGGGACAAGGTTTTACTATTTTTATCTTATATAGCACACTAGACTAATTTATCAATCATCTTGAGGACAGTTGCATGATTGTAAATGGATTTAAATACAAATTATCTGGCTGAAGCCTTGTTTTCCCAAGCCCTCAAGTGTGAAAGATATGCATAAATACCAGAGATTTGAGTATTTTTATTTGGTCATTATATCCTTTAGTGGTATTCTTCTTGACGGGATATTCCTGGTCAAGTCACATTTTCAATGATCCAAGTAATGGATCTACTACTACATCCCGTTGGATGTTTCTCTATTACACAGTCTAATAGATCACATTTTTAAAGGAGTTGGTAGGGATGTAAAATGCTCTTAAGACGTGCTAAGGATTGTCACTACAGTATAATTGACAAGTCCAGCTTTTAAAAGTGTCTTTGGCCATTCTCCTCTTCAGGTAAGCCAGTGAGCTCATCCATTTGGAATATTTCAAGTGCCTTTTGTGGTATTTTGAAAATTCTTTTTTTGGAATTCAGGGTCTCCTGAGAATGAACAATTTCTGCATTGCAGGGATCCAGTGAGGGGGAGTGAAATGCAGGACATCCACACTAGCTTTGAAGCATATTGGAAAAAATTCCTCTTTAGCTCACCACAGATTCAGAAGAAAATATAAAATATGTTCTGATGAAATGCAGAGCATGCTTTTCCAGACTGACACTAACTTAATGCTATTTTAGAAAACTTCATTGTTGCCAATTTGCCAGTAGGTACAATGTCTACAACCTGTTAAAACATGAACTTTATCTGAGAGAACACTGGAGGAACATAGTGGAAAACTGTTTGCTGTGCATGTCTATCCATACTCCAAGGAAGATCTCAAGGGTGACATTTGCAAAAGTATTATGTGATTAGCCATGCCAGAAAGGAATAAAGTAGCTGAGTGACTCCCATTTCAGTTGTGTGCGGTGTAAGAGTGCATCCTCTAAGGAGTCCTCTGCCCACCAGGAGCTGAGGCACCGTAAGAATGTTTTGCCATGTATGAAACCCCATAATTTACACATCAGTAGCTCAGAGGTTGCAGTAGCAGGTGCATCCAGACTTTTGTTAGTGGTGAGAGCTGAAATGAGGACATCTGGCCTCAAACAGAGCGGTTATTATGTCACTTGTGATGAAGATTTCCATTTTCAACTTGTGATCAGTAGTCTGTAACATTGTGAATCACTTCAGGGCCAAATAACTGCAATCAGGTATTAAGTGTTGAAATCCCTTACACTGTTACAGTAGCGTGCAAGTTTTGGCTATACCAATTCCCATAATAGTAGAAGTAGGTTGGGATATTTAAACACTGCTTAGTACTCTGAAAATTTGTGGAAAATTAAACCAAGCCATGCATTATCAGAATAAGATTTTTTTTTTGTGAATAGGAGCAAGTAAACAGTAAATACAACAACCCCAAACATATAGGTTATTAAACAGCTGGTTTGGCTTCATTTTGACAGTTAGTGTAATGTATTATTGGTTTATTGTTAATTTGAAAAGAGCTTACAGAAATCATGTTTTGATACTGTCTTGAGATGCTTACAATCTACGCAGACAACTTGGAGATCAAGTAAAATTGCACTTGAATCATGAACAGATGTGCATTGAATACAGAGAAAAGTTTCCCGGTAATTGCACCAAACTTTGTATTTGGCCCAAAGTAACCCAGAAAGTGCTCCATTAAGGACATGATCTTTTTTAATGTGTTTATTTGGCCCTGAAAACATGCAGATGAGCAATTAAGGCCTCCTGGGAGGCCTGTGTCCATGAATGTTTTCAGGACTGAGGTTTTAGGGTATAGGCGGTGACACTTATCTTGCTGTGGATTCGTGAACAATAGTGAATTTCATATCAGAAAAATTTTCTTGCATCTGCTTTCCAGCTGGTGGAACAAGATAATTTTTCTTGTGTATTATTTAGGTATCCCGTATCACTATGTTGGACATGGGAAAGATTAAGCGATAAAAAGAATCAGAGAATGTTTATTCCAATTATTTTTACAATAAGAAACAACGAATGCTAAATGTGCACATGCTGTTTTTTCTCTTAGCTTGAATATCTCATGGCTTCTGTTGTATTTCATTCTTTCAGGCCTTTCTCTGAGATCTGCCCATTGCATAGCCATATGTATTAGATGACTTTGGGACTTGCTTTACATCAACGATGAAGGGATTATCTAGCAGCCGTAGTCATCATCATGGGGTTGCCTGTGACTCTCCGTGTGACAGTCTGCCACACCACCCGGAGAGGAAGCCATATTTGTTAAACCCGGTGGACCCCCATCCTGCAGACCACCCTTACTACACTCAAAGGAACTCTTTTCAGGCAGAGTGCATGGTGCCCTACAGCGATCAGATTGCCAGCAGCACGTTTCCCCGGAGGCATTACAATTCCCACCACGAACTCAAGGAGGAGTGTGCTCTGGTTCCCCACGGAACTGCCAACAAGACCAAATTGGACCAGTTTGAGCGGCAGCTGCCTCTGAACCGGGATGGCTACCACACTCTGCAGTACAAGCGGACTGCCATGGAGCACCGCAGTGACAGCCCAGGGAGGATCCGGCATCTGGTTCATTCTGTCCAAAAGCTCTTTACCAAGTCCCATTCACTGGAGGGACCATCCAAGGGGAGCGTCAACGGGGGCAAAGCGAGCCCAGAGGAGTCGCAGACGATGAGGTATGGGAAGCGCAGCAAGAGTAAAGAAAGGAGATCAGAAGGTAAGCCCAGATCCAATGCATCAGGATGGTGGAGTTCAGATGACAACTTGGACAATGATGTTTGCATTTATCATGGTCCCAGTGGGGTCATGACCATGGGAAGATGCCCTGATCGTTCTTCTTCCCAATACTTTATGGAAGCCTATAACACTATTAGCGAACATACTGTGAAGTCATCCAGAAGCAATAATGATGTCAAATGCTCTACCTGTGCAAACCTGCCTGTGAATTTGGACTCCCAGTTAATGAAGAAAAGCTCTTGGTCCTCTACATTAACCGTGAGCAGAGCCCGTGAAGTTTACCAGAAAGCATCAGTTAACATGGACCAGACTGTGGTGAAGGCAGAGACGTGTCAACAGGAACGGTCATGTCAGTACCTCCAGGTACAGTGTGGAGAACTGATTGCTGTTAAGTGTGCTCTGCCTTGTCTCGGGTGTTTGTGGGGGATGGAGGTTTGCTCCATATTTCAACTTTCGCGAGAGGTCACTGAGCACCAAACAAGGGGAATGCTGCTGAAATTAAAAATAAATCTGCTTTTTCTTTTCTTTTCTTTTCTTTTCTTTTCTTTTCTTTTCTTTTCTTTTCTTTTCTTTTTTTTTTTTGCCAGCATTCAGTATTTCAAAGAAACAGTTCATGTTGGAACAGGCTTAATCTTTTCATGTGGGAAAAATAAGACCTTTCTGTGTACTTTTTGAATTTATAAGGCAGTCACAGTAGGGGTATAGGGAATTTGATGTTGTGGTGCTTGCATTCAGCATTACAATGTCAATTAACTGAATGTTACCAGGATACAAATTCTTTGATTTCTGTAATTTCAAGATTTGCCTTCATTTACTGCTTATTTTATTATGAAAGCTTTTGAGACCCTTTTGAGAAACTTTGGGGTACCTTAATACTTTCTCCAGCAGGAAAACAACCTACTTTCCTTTTTGCCATAGAATATAAACTCTCATAGACCAGTTATTGTAACATGTCCAGATTTGTTTATCTGGCTATTCCTCTTTCTCATGGCTTTGAATCAAAAATAAAAAATCAAAAGGTTGAAATTATTGCTTGTTCTGATTATACATTTTAGGAGTACATCACCTACTCCCTCACAAGCTGTTTGCAGTTAATACAGCGTCACTATTTTTCACCAGTATTGTATCTTTAAATGTCAAGAATCAGATGTCTGCTCTTGGAGCTATCATACTGCCGGTGAATGTTTGTGGCAGGAACATGGATCAGAAAATATTAAAACTCTTTCATTCTTAGGAGAGCTGTGGATAGCTTTTATGCACTTTAATCGAAGCACTTATGGCACATCTAAGTGTGTGTGTAAGATGGAACAACGTTGCGCAGAGAAGAGAGAAGACCATGAGGAAAAAAGAGGTTTGCTAAGATGATTTGGTTTCATTTTAATGTAGTGGGACTCTTGTCTATTTGTACAGAAACTGTAGCGAGTTTTCTCATATGGGTGCTTTAATGAGACAGTCAGCTTCCACATTCTGTTGTTTAAGTCAGTACGGAGAGTAAGCGTAGGACTGAGGCATCCGCATTTAAAAATTGATCTTAAAAGGTTTTATTGCATGGCATGCAAAATAATTTTGAATGCCAGCCTCTGGGATTCTAAGTTTTAAAAGTAAAGAAATGGATCTGTGTGTTTTCTATTAATTGTTAGGAGAGTGGTGTGAGGGAAGAGGGGGCAATATGAATGCTCAGTGTGTGTTTACAGCTGTGAGTATGGACTGGGGAGGGAGAGGGGGTTCAAAATAGCCTCTGGTTGCAACCTTTGGAGGGTTTCTTTTGTATTAAGTCTCTTTCGTCTGAATTTTGTGAGTGAGAAGAAATCGTAACTTTAGGCTTGATTGTTGTGGTTACTTTGGACCCTGAGATTTCTTTTGTTGATGTTTTTGTTTACTCCTTCAGTCTTCCTCTCAGGTTTAGATAAAATAGCTGACAATTCAGTATGTGACCAGATGGCTAGAAAAGAGCAAAAACTGTGCCGGCATCAGCTTTAAATGAACACCTCCATGGGGACTTTTAGATAATGTTTAACTGACAGGAATAGACTCTTGAAGTGGAATTAGAGGGCATTATCTGTGTCTGTATGAAAATATGTCCAACAATTGTCAATGGCAGGAATTAGAATAACTAAATTCTCACTTTGAGTAACTAAATTCTCACTGTGTTTCCCATCCTCACTAGTAGTTTTATTTTGGTTTTCATTTCATTTTGTTTCATTTTTTCTAATTGTATGCTTGTTTGTAAAAGCCAGGGAAATACAACTGGTTTGAAATTGTTTTTAAAAAAGAAGGAAAATCTTAACCAGACTTGGATTAACATTGGAAATAATGTTCAAACAGAGTAGGGTAGATTTGAGGAAGCAGGTCAGGATTATTCTTCTCGGCAGCTTGAAAAGATGACAAATGGATATAGGTATTAAAAAGTCAGTCTATTTTGAATGCATCCCATTGCCTTTCTCTTCACTATATCACTTACCTTTTTACACTACAAGCCCTTTGGGGCTTGGACTTTGTTCCCTTTTGTGTTTCCACAATGCCCAGCACAATAGAGCACAGAACCTAATTGAGGCCTTTTGACTGTCCTGCAATATAAATATATATTAACAGCAGCAGAGTATTACTCCATTAGTGGGCTGCAGAGGTATTCTCTGTATTGCTGACCTTCTCATCATTGTACCAAAAGGCTGGTGTCCTGTGTTAGAACAATTAGAAATGCACTAAATGAGATGAAAGCTGCAAAGTCATGACAATACTGGACAACTCTGATAATTTAATTTCATTATTATGATGCTTCTTTGTTGCTTTATTTAACTCGTTAAATGTTAAATAGATGCTTTTATCAACTCACTTGTAATTTAAGCTGTTGTTTATGGTCCAGAACATAAACTCTCTGGTCCTTGAAAGAGGCAACTATTTTGTTCATGCAAACTCTTCTTGTGATAGTATCTGAATTCAATGAAGGAGCGACTTTTTTTCAGCTCAGGGTACTCAAGATAATTTTCTTTATCCTGATAGATCTGAGTATATCAGAGGTCACAGATGACATTGACTTCACACTTGCTTGTAAGGGCTTTTATCACAGAAGTATCTGGATGAATTCTCAGTGTAAAGACATGGAAATAACAAACAATTATCTCACTTGGTGTGATATTTTCCACATAACCGTTCTGTGGAAGGAGTTGGCAGTAGTTCGTGTTACAGATGGGCTTATTTCTCATAATTTGGAATTTGGATCGAGTGCAGAGTCTTCCTGCATTGCACAGTCTTTCTTTACTCCGGCAGGCTCCGCTTCCAGCCCGGGTGCTGAGGCGCAGTGTCCGTCCTTGGAGGTCTAGGGGAGGCTTGGCTCAACACCGTGCATCTTCAGAAAGAGGTATTAGCTCCCAGACTAGTCTAAAGACTGTCAAGCAAACCTTTTCCTCTCACCTGCATTTTGGGAATGGAATTGTCTTTTCCTCTTCTCTCTATTTCTCCTTTCAAGAATGAGCAGCTAGATAGTAGAGAGATAAGGTCCTTTTTTTGACCTGCTTCTTACTTCAGGAAAGTGCTTTTATTTGATCCAGGTTTACTGTTGGACTAATTTGAAGGAAGGTGAGAAGGAACTGTTTCTGTTTTCTGAAAATTTTACTTCCAAATGGTTTCCCTGCCTTGAGAGAATAATTTATAAAGCAGTGGACAGCCTCTACTTCTCTGGTGGCTTCTCCTCTGGAAAAATTAAAATTAAGCAAAACTATCAAAGAAGAAATGTAAGCAGCTGCCTTTTTCTGCGAACAATAGGGTCTAAATACACGGGTAGATATTTTTGACACTCTTGTTTTATATGAATTCATGATTGTTGAAGCTAATAGAGTATCAAATAACTGCAGAGTTTGTCTCTGATTATAGTTTTGCCATTCAATGTTCCCTGTGATTACTATTCCCATTGTCCTTGGTCCATTCGTTAGGAGACTGAGAAAAATACAAAGGATGACATTTTTCTTATTATTTCTCTTTTCTTCTTATGTGGGTCAGTCATATGTTTTCTTTTGATCCCATTTGATGAGACTGAAGTCAGTTGTGTCAGATACTTGGGGCTGAGGATGGAAATTTTACTTTTGAAAACTGAAGTGCAGTAGGTGGGGACGACGGTGCAGTCATCCGAGTTCCGCATTTGCATCGCTTGTCCTTTGGTGGGAGACTGTGAGAAATACTATCAAAAATGCAGGCCAAGCTTCTGTGTGTAATAAGCATTTTCTGGTGGTGGAGGGCTCTGGTTCATACTGTGCTCAGTTTCCTGTGTGAAGGTTGTCTGTAATGTGCATTAATATATAATGTGTAGTGTTAAGAAACTCAAAGTGACTTGTTTTCCAGTCGCAGGACAAGGCACTTGCACAGTTTCTTAGGAGATACTGCTCAATCCCAGCCTCTTTCTGTTGCCTGTGTCCATGGATGGCCAAATAGAGGGCATCGCCCTAGGTCAGGGTGCTAATAAGGTCCAGTATCTGTCATATGATTTGTTAACGTGGTATGTTAAATTACAAAGTGTTTATCCTTATGACACAGCAATTTACATTACATCTATTATACTGGGCTTATCTATGCATTTTCACTTCATCTCTACTTTTTCCTCATTTGTGGTCTTTGCGTTTCTGTTGCAACTACCATATTCAAATTAATCTTTCAGTATGTCCTTGGAGATATGTATATATAAGCTATATTTTAATATCCATTAATATTGATCTTCCCTTTTTCATATATCTGAAGACCTGCCTTTTTTCTCTTATTCCATTATAAATTGAAAATGAATGAAGCGTATATTATTTCCCCTTCAATTTTCCAGTCAGAACTACAAAGTATATGAGGTATAAGTTTCAAATTTTTTTACTGAGCTCATATGAAACATACTTCTCGGTAAAGCTAGTGAAACGATTTGAACAACTGTGAAATAAAATGTCCAATGTTACAATGTATTCCAGGCCAGCTTCCAGGTAATGGAATAATTATGAAAATGTTTGGAAATTATTAAATGTTCATGAATTTTAGAATAAACCAGTATCTAAGAACATTAAAACTGAAAAAATACCATTCACAGAAAGCTAATTTATTTCAGTTTTAAAATAGTGAGATGGGTAGTATGAATAGTGCATAAAGTTAGGGAATTTGTGGACACTTGGAAAATATAAATTAAGCACATAATACTTATTTTAAAAAAATATATTAATAACAAATAATTCCATTGAACCTACATCTTGGTTATTTAGCCTACCTGCAAACCTACCCAAGATGCCTTTCCTATGTTAAGACAAATATGTAGGAGAGTCTTCAGTATAGCCGTCCTTCTCATCTTTGCAGTCCTTTAATTTACCTTAAAAAAAAGAGAAATTGTCAGCTGAATTGGT